CCTTGTACCCCCAATATGTTTTTCCCAATTAAAAAAAAAAAGAGATTTAAAAAAAATTTTAAAAGCATTCTTTGATTTTATAAAGAAACTTTTTCCCCCTTAGTTGGAATACTTGAAAATATAGTATAAATTTGGTTAAGTCAAGGAAGTCTTCAGGGCTAAGATTAACCTTGCGTTGATCCTTTTAGTCTATAGTAAATGTAGCATGTTGGCTGAAAAGAAACTTTCTTTAAGGAAAGTAGATGTTGATGTTGTTAGGTGCCATGGTGACCCTATTAACAATAGATCTGAACCCTGGCCTTTCCTTTGCCATCCTCATCATTCCCAGCACACTTGAGCCCATCACTGTAGTCAATCACTCTGTCAATTCATCTGGTTAAGAGTCTTCCTCTCTTTCACTAACTGCTCTGCCTGCACCTTTCCAAGCATGATGTCCTTCACCAAGGAATAACCTCTCCTAACAAAAAGGGAAGAAATAGAAGTTAAAGTCAGAGTAGAAATAATCACTACTAGTACTTTTACACAGGATTTTTGGCAGATTTATTGACTTTCAAGTCTGTCAAACAATTAGCATCAAGTTGTTTGGTGTTTTCTTTAGAAATAACTAGAAACAAAGACCACAGAATGTTGCCAGTTAGTATCTTCTGGAAAGATTTTAGTTCTAATTGGTAAAAAAGGGAAATTGAAAATTAAGTTTTTTAAATGATGCTTAAGATTTTCAGTTCAATCAGTGTAGTCATCAACTGACATTTACTTTGAACCCTTTGGGTAAATGGCATTAAACCAAATCCCACAAGAAATAGTATCTTGTGACTGCCTGAGCAAACCAATAATTGAATTATTGTTCCCAGAAGCTATCGATAATAACATCTGATGTTAATAGCTGGAGGTTCCAGCTTGGAGTTATGAGGCTAAAAGAGGCAAAATAAACATCATTAAATACTTTAATGGAAATTCTATCTACTTTTTGTAGTGAATAAAGAAGTCACTGTCCTGTGCAATGAGACACTAAAATATTAAATTATTACTTAATATTCCATCAAATAATAGTGTAGATTTTTAGAATCTGGTGTATTTGACTGATCATTGTATGAATAATTAATTTTGACAATTAAAAATGAAGAGAGGAGTTGATTCACACAGTGAATCAGGTCGAATCTTAAATCATTTCTGTCTATACTGAAAATTAAAATACAAAGAAATATTGATAGATAAAATGTAAAGCATTTGTGGCAATTCTATTTTTAACTGACCTGCAAAATTATTATCACTAATATTAAAGTACTTTTTCATTCTGTATTCAAAATACTTCTTTTAAGTATCATCAGATTTTAGGTATTTTCTGAGTGATTTTTCCCCTTCCTTGTTCCTCCTCCCTACCACACCCCACCCCACCCACCTCACCCCAGTTTTGTAGCTCCTAAAAGATTCCAATGGCTTGCTACCCTGTTGTTAACCTTCTAATACCATTTAAGGTAGCTCTACGGGATGTATTTATTCCGAGTCCTGCAACCCAGTTTCTGTTTTAACCACGCTTCTAAATCAACTTGACAAACCAGTTTATTTTCACCTTTTCCATTTCAACAACTCGTGATTTAGATTGGTAAGAAGGATATAATGTAATCCGGTACAACCTCTTCCCCTTGGAATCTGTATTTGCGAGGCTTCCTCCTTTCTTGGCTGAACGTGCTGAAGTCAGGCAGAGTACCTTGTGAAGGACTTCAGCCCCCACAGTTCCCTGTGTGCGCATGCCCTCTCATCTTACAGTTGTCAAAGTGCTTTTGCCAGAGCGGTCACATAATCAACCTGAAAGAAGAAAATAAATACTGTACACTTTTAAATTTCATCGATCCTTAAAAACTGGATATTTAAAGGTAACTGCTGTTAAGAATTTGTTACTTGAAATTGGGCTACTGCATGTGAAGGAAGATCTATTGTGTGTGGTGGGGGGAGGGGAAGGATATACCTATTTCTCGGACTTAGCTATAAATAAGGAAAAAACCTTTTTAGGCTATACCTGAGAAACATTGCATGTTTACTTTGTAAGTGTTATCTTAACTCTGCTTACTTTTTGTTTAAGATGGCCTTATTTGTTAAAGGTGTGTCTTGACCTTGACAGAGTGAATTTATTCAGAAAGTGAAATTTTAATCTTTAAGGAGTGTTAACAAGAGAAATACGTTTTCACAGTATAATAAATATTCTTAAATTTAAAAGTTTGCTAATATGAATTACTACCCCTATAAATCTTCTGAGTCCAGCTTACTTTTCAGCCTTTTTTTGTCTTGTTTCATTTTAGTATTGCATAGCATCTTTATTTTTTCCAGCAAGAGTATGTAGTTTAAACTGAAAGCATGAACAAAAAGCATTGATACAAGTAACCAGAGAAGTGAGGTGATACTGAAATGATAATAAAATGCATATTTCAGCCATGATGATATGGCTATTGTAAAAGACAGTTTTCGGAACTCGATTCTTAGATTTATAGAGGTTTGCTGCAGAACTGCTTGAACCAAGTGTAAAAACATTTCTTTCTATAGCCATCACCTTTGGCAGCAGTGGAACTTAGTGCTGTATGAATTCAAGCTTTGGTTGCCTGTTTGTGTCATAGCTTTATTGTCATAGCCATTGTTTTAGACTAGGGGAACTGAGGCGTTTATGACATGCTAAGTAGGCTTTATTGGTAATAGCTGACAATTTAATTATGCTGTATATTATACTGGATTCTGCCTCCCCCTTTTTGGGTGAAAGGGAGAGGGAAGGCAGAGATATGAGTAGTGAAAAGGAGAGGAAGGTGGTTGTGAATTGTTTCCTTGCGCCTACTGTTTTGTCTGTGGATGAAACTTTAAAATGGAAGATAGAAGTTAACCATTTTACAGCCAGTCTTCGATACATAGTAGAATTATTTCAAATCCTATTTCTTGGTCTGACATATTTTTCTTGTTATTTAGAGCAGAAGCATCTCCATCTTTAATGCATTTCTTCTAGAACAGATATTATCATGAAAGGCCAGAGGCCAGAGTTTCTGTGTATCTGAATGCCCTGAGAAATACTTCTCCAAACAACTAAGCAATTGCATTAAATATATCTACTTTATTGTAATTATATGGAATTGTGTAAAAAAAGAACTATGTTTAGTCATATGCTCCTTTTTAATTTTTTTTGTGTGATATGCTCCTTTAACATTTCAAAAATACTTGTTTTCAGAGTCTCAGTACTGTAACATTTATATATTTGGGACAATTAACTTGCTCTAAAAGACACATCAACTCAATGATAACTACAAATATGGAAAACGATTGACCAGTGCTTATTGTTTTAATCCTTTAATAAAAACATAGGCAGTATGGCATAGGTGAATATAGCCCTTCTGTGCGAAATGGAAAATACCATACACTCCTTATATGGCTAAATAAAGCAGTGTTGGCAATGCACTATAATTACAATGTATGAGAGAATTCAAGTCTTTGTACTATGCTATTTTTAACACTTTTGCTAGCATATGGTAATTCAGGGTCTTCAGATCCTAATCTTTCATTGCAAATACTAGTGATAAGAGAATGGATTCTAAATTTACCAAAGTCTTGTGACCAAGGCAGCAGCAGGAGGATACAAAAATGAAATTCAAGCAACTCCAGAATTATCTTGACTGTCGACTTAAATCTCAGGGGTTTCTTAAGCACCCCCCTCACAGTCTCAGCTCTCTCTCTCTCACACACACACACACCACTCACCTCATTCTATTTCATTTTCCCTCTCTCTCTCTCTCTCTCTCTCTCTCTCTCTGACCTCAAATCCAACCAGAAGCTTTTCTCCACTCTGGAGTAATTCTCAGGGCTCCTGTTGAGACCGAAAACTCTGGATGCCTAGATCTCTCTTGTACGGCAAAATTGGAAACAAAACCAGTTGGAGAATAAAACCGAAAAATCATAAACTTAGAATAATAAGAAACAAGTACTTACAAACGTTTTAGCACATTTTTACCTCTTAAAAACGGTGTGGTTTTTTTAAGGAAAAAATGAAATGTCTTCTAACAAAATGGAGTAGCTGCAGCTACAGAGACCAGAGAATGATTGTGTATCTGAGTCCTCCTCCTACCAAATGCCAAAGATTTTCCCCCTTGTGGTTTGCTGCAGCTAAATGAAACAATTACCAAAGCAAGAAGGCAGCTTGCTAATCAAGAGGGATAAGATTGCTGTTTCTTTAAAGTGCTCGTGCCAGAAAGGGGAAAGAAAGGGTCCTGTGCTCCTGTCTTTTTAACCTTGATGAAGGACGCAGCAGTATTTATTGACGTATGCAAATAACTGGAGGAGGGTGGTGCTTGGGAAAAAACAGGAACCAGAATCAGTTTCTCATTGCAGGGTGAACACTCTGAGTTCCGGTGAAGGGAAAAGAGACGTGGCGAAATTGCTGTCTTTCTGTCTTTTAAACATACCTCTCATTAATACAGAAAAGGAGCCAAGACACCAGAAAGGGTGAAGACGTTATCACTTTATTTTCAGACCTAGCACCGCGCCACCCCCCACCCTGTGCTCCTAAATGGGAGATTATGGATTTGCATTGCAATTGGCCAGTAGCTGTGGCTCTGGATTTTTGCGAGTAAAACTCGCTTGCTTCACCGAGGGACATTAAAGATCACATTAACGATAACGCCTCTCTCTTTTCCTTTTCAGCTGCGCAAACCATGCAGGATGATTTACTGATGGACAAAAGCAAAACCCAGCCCCAGTCCCAGCAGCAGCGGCAGCAGCAGCAGCAGCAGCCCCAGCCCCAGCCTGAGCCCAGTGCAGCCGAAGCGCCATCCACGCCCCTCTCCTCAGATACCCCCAAGCCAGAGGACAGCAGCGCAGTGCCAGCCCTGAGCCCCTCCGCGGCCCCACCGGCCCCCAACGGTCCGGACAAGATGCAGATGGAATCGCCGCTCCTACCGGGCTTGAGTTTCCACCAGCCGCCTCAGCAGCCGCCACCGCAGGAGCCCGCAGCTCCGGGCGCGTCGCTGTCGCCGTCCTTCGGCAGCACCTGGTCCACAGGCACCACAAACGCGGTGGAGGACAGCTTTTTCCAGGGGATCACCCCAGTCAACGGGACCATGCTCTTCCAGAATTTCCCGCACCACGTCAACCCCGTCTTCGGAGGCACCTTCTCCCCGCAGATCAGCCTGGCGCAGACCCAGCACCACCAGCAGCCGCCGCCTCCCGCGCCCCAGGCGGCGCAGCCCGCGCAGCCCCCGCAGCCTCAGCCGGCACAGCGCCGCTCGCCTGCCAGCCCCAGCCAGGCGCCCTACGCGCAGAGGAGTGCTGCGGCCGCGGCGTACGGCCACCAGCCCATCATGACCAGCAAGCCCTCCTCGTCCTCGGCCGCCGTGGCTGCCGCTGCTGCAGCTGCTGCCTCGTCCGCCTCGTCCAGCTGGAACACACACCAGAGCGTGAACGCAGCCTGGAGTGCGCCATCCAACCCTTGGGGCGGCCTGCAGGCGGGCCGGGACCCTCGCCGGGCGGTCGGCGTGGGCGTGGGTGTGGGCGTTGGAGTGCCTTCTCCGCTCAACCCCATCTCGCCGCTCAAAAAGCCCTTCTCCAGCAATGTGATCGCGCCGCCCAAGTTCCCCCGTGCCGCCCCGCTCACCTCCAAGTCTTGGATGGAGGATAATGCTTTCCGGACCGATAATGGTAACAATCTGTTGCCATTTCAGGTAATGCTTGGGTGCACCCACCCTCTCCTTCCTCCTACCCTGCTCCCTTTGGCCCCTCTGCTCTTTTAATCTTTTATAGGGTTGTTTTTTTTTAAAAGATAGCAATGTCCAGATACGCTGTTCCCTTCCAAAGCTTCTCGTTCACTGAGGAGGCTCCACTCCTCGAGGTTGAGGGACATTGTGTCTGATAGAGAAGGATCTTTTACTTTATTTTCTGCTTTTTTTACCTTCTTTGACAAGTAAAGTGGCAAGTAGTTGCAAGGTGCCCCTATAGTCAGTCAAAGGATGAGTAGGATGAGATTTCCTTTTAGTAGCTACACATTTCAAGTTATGCAGTTCTGGGCTCAGGGTGCTGCCTGAAAACTGTTCACTCCCAAATCCCCTCTGTTTACTATGAAAGAGGTTAACAGCCCTTGAGTAGTACCATTTTAGACAGTTGCATATGCTCAATTAAACTAATGTGGACACATGTTACTATGTCTCACCAAGGTGCTGAAATCATTAATAGCAATCGTATATTGTCCCTGTCAGGAAAATGATTAGTGTGAGATTTCCACAAACACTCAAATGCTGTAAGGGACTCTAGTGAAGAGTGGAAATTTTAGGGAAAGAACCCTTCCTATGTTACACAGAAGGTCTTAGAAGTTCTTTGTATTTTTTTTCAAAGGAGACTCAATAGGACACGACCTTCAGAGCTGTATTGCAATGGAGTCTATTTTCTAACTAGCACTGAAATATTTAAAGCTGCAGTGTCCTTCACCAGTTGAGTTATTTAAGAAGACAATGCAGATCTGTTACACCATTTGAAACTGGGCAAAGTGAAAGTCTTGCAAGTTTAATGAAAAATGAGTCTTGTGCTTTGCTGTTAAATGCCAGTGAAAACTCAGGAAGTAGTGCCCTAGACAAAAAGGTTGAATGGAGAGGGTGTCCTTATTTCTGTTCTTGCTTTCTTTTTCTGATCCAGCTCATGGCCTTAGCAGTTGTGAGAGTCATGGACACAGGGAGGAGGGGTGGCTGAAAGGGGTGGTAAAGGGTGAGTGTTCAGTGGGAGGGGTGTGTGTGTGTGTGTTTGCTCTCAGGCAAACACATCCTTCACTTAGAAATTGACTTGGCTGTCAGCTTCTAGGCTATGTCAGAAAGGAGGGAGATGGAGGACTTTGGACACAACCCAATTTCGATGGTCAAGGAAATGAAACATTCTTTGAGCAGTGTTGAAAGATGGCTGAGCTGACAGTTTGGCAGAGGTAGTTTACATTGAAAGATGCAGTTGGAGCCTTCATTTTGTTGCTTTTTACATTTCAGACATATGGGGTAGCTCCATCTATGAAAGTGGAGATGAGGTTTGTTAAGAGCCATGTAACTCTCTAGGCCATATTAACTTTTTCTTTTTTTCCTTGCCAGTGTAGAGGGATCGACAGAACCCTTAGATTGAGTGTATATGACGTTTTAATTGGAGACAATCTTTAATCTCATGAAATGTTCCCAGGGATTCTGTAGGCTTGAAAGCTTTCAATGTTAAGGCATCTTTCTTAAGAGAGATCATGAAGAGGTGCAGTACAAGACAAGGTTCAGATCTGTTGTTCGGAGGGTCTCTGTGAGTTGTAGGCGACTCAGCGGCACCTTCCAACAACAACAATCTAAGTGTTACCTGTTTTAATGAAATTAAGAAACAGTCTAAAATGAGGTTAGTTTCGATTAGGAATCTACTTTCCGGAATTTTTGTGCTTAATTTTAAAAGTTATGTAGGGCAATGAGTCTGTAGTTTGGTAGGAAAGCCTCTCTCTTTTTAACAATCCCTCTTTTTAGTCTGATAGGTGACAGAATTGTTAAGAATGAATACATAGTGATGTTTCTGATAATGTACTCCCCTCAGGAGAACTAAGTAACAGTTAAGCACTGTGGAAAACCCTGTCATTTTCTAGGGCTGGGTCTCAACTCCTCTTGGCAACTGGTGGGTCAGTGTGATCCCCTTACCAAGGCAGGTTCCCTAGCTTAGAATGGTGCCTTTGGGTCTGCCTTATCCTATATGAGTTTTCCATAAGTTATCCAGAATATTGGGTTGCTAAGCATTTGGGAAATTTCATTCAAACTGAGTATAGCAAGAGCGAGGCTTTAGTAAGTGACTTCTCAAAATTAGGCACCCAAGCCCAGACAAAGAAGCAGTCTGGCATGCCTTCCTAAGGCTGGGAAAAATTTTTAGACTGATTGCATTGAGAAAGTCTGCTGTCAGGACCTCGCTAGAGTACTGAAGAGCAATGATGTCAGTCTGGAGACTAAGGTGCACTGGATCCAGGCCATTGTCTTTACAATTACTTGCTATGCATCAGAAAGCTGCAAAATAACTAAGGATGATTGAAGAAGGATCGATGCCTTTGAGTTGTGTTGCTGGAGGAGAGTGTTGAACATATTGTGGACTGCCAGGAGAACAAACAGGTCTCCTAGAGAGGGTGAAACCAGTTTCCTCTTTGGAGGCAAGGTTTTGGAGGCTGTGTCTCACTTACTTTGTGCCCGTAGCCAGGAGGGGCCAGTCCTTGGAGAGGGACATCATGCTTGGAAAGGTGGAAGGACAGTGCAGGATAGAGGACCCAGGATTGACTCAGTGACTGGAGCAATGGGATTAGGTCTGTCAGAGATGATGAGATTGCCCCAGGAAAGGACAGGCTTTAGAGCTAATCAGCTTAGGGTTGGTATGAGTTGCAGGCAACTCAATGGTATATAACAATAAGTCTTTTTATTTTGTTTAGATCAGCAATCAACAATCTTGGTACTGTTGTTGTTACTCATAGCGACCCTATGTACAACAGCCCTAAACTCTGTCCTGTGCCAATCTCACTGTCTCTGACACACCCATCCCGATTACTCCAATCACTGAATCAATCCATCTCATAGGGGACCTTCCCCTTCTGCGCTGTCCCTCCACCCTACCAAGCATTATGTCCCTTTCCAAGGACCTGTCCCTCCTTGCAACATGTCCAAAGTACCTTGGTACTAGCAGCCAGGAAATCAGACGACTTTCTGCATTGGGCTAGTCTGCTGTCAGGAAACTCTACAGAATAATTAAGAGCAGTGATGTCAGTTTGAAGACTAAGGTGTACTTGATTTAGGCTGTGGTCTTTTCAGTGTTGCACGGAGGCAAAGAGGGTGAAGTTCCATCTCTAATACTTTGAACATGTAGCTAATTGTGGTTATCCTTGGAAAGGGACACCATGCTTGGAAGTATGGAGGGTCAGCAAAGAAGAGGATTGACACTAACTGCAGCAATGGGGTTGATTGTGTTAGAGATCATGAAGATGGCACAGGATAGGGCAGACTTCCAGTCTGTTGGTCATAGGGTCATAATGATTTATAGTCTCTCTTTTTTTAAAATTATCATTTTTTTACCTACATACACATATTCATTGTGCTTTATACAGTCCTCCATTTACATTATATTTCATTCATTTCTATAGTAGTTCCCCCTTACAACAACCCGCCAACAACTAATTTTGTAAAAGTATGTAAGCCAGTTTATGAATCTTATTCTTTTTACCCCTAGTAGTTTATTTATAAAACTTGGAACACGAATTCAAACAAATTCTTTCAATTTCCCTCTCCTCTCCACCCATCAAATTGTACAACCCAATGATTACTCCTCCCTCCTCCTGCACATCCACATCCCTCTGCTTCCTGCCTCCCCCACCCCTCCTGGATCCTTATACTCTTCTATAATAACAGCTTTATACAATATTTACCTTGTGGGACTGAGTTAGTTCATTCAGCATACTGCTTTCCAGTCCCTCCCAAGTTAGGTAATAATTTACAAAGTTATTGCTCCTGCATACTGCATAGTATTCCATTGTGTGAATGTACCATAATTTCTCAATCCATTTGTTTGTGGTTGGACATTTGGGCTGTTTCCATGTTCTTGCGATGGAGAATAATGCTGCTATGAACATTGGTGTACAAATCCCAGTTTGTATCTCAGTTCTCATCTCAGGGTATATTCCCATTAGTAGAATAGTTGGGTCATATGTAATCTCTATGTTCAGCTTTTTAAGGAAGTGCCAACCTACCTTACAGAATGGTTGCATCATTTTACAATCCCACCAACAATGTATGAGTTCCTTTCTCACCACATCCTCTCCAACATCTATTACTTGTTGCCCTGTTAAACTTTGCCACTGTTACTGGAGATGGTACCTCATTTTGGTTTTGATTTATAAATCTCATTCTTTTTTTTAAATTTAATTTTTTTTTTTTTTTTGTGCATGTACCATCAAATCAGATCTGACTGGTCCAGGAGGAGATTGTCCCTCCTTCTCCAGCAGAGCATCTGGTCGATTCGAACCACTCACTTCTGGGATTGCAGTGCAGCTTCTTGCCACTAGGCCACCAGAGCTTGCATGAATCATATTCTTGATGGCACCTATCAACAACAGCAACAGGTCTCAAGTCCCTCTCACTATTCAGCATTAGCTCAGTACTGTGTAATGTACATACTTTCCCCATACATCTAATGCCTAGGTCTTATCTCCTTTTTTACAACCCTTTGTTTCTCTCTTCCCCCTTATCTTGTTTGTGTACACATGCCAGAGGCTCTGTAGTTTATCTCGTCAGTTAACAACTTGTATTTCTTTTGGGTCAGCTCATGACTCATTACACAAGCTTTTGTTCTCCCTACTCTGAAGATGGACCAGTCTAAAGTATATTTTTTATAGACACTCCATCAATGTTACTCATATGAATCATTCTGTATTTATATCAGATAGAACAGCCTATCAGGAAAGAGCTGTGTAAAGTGAATTTGGGCTTAACTAGCATTGTTGTCCTTGGACATATGTAGAAGGGAACTTTAACTCAATACTGTCCTGTCCATTCTAACTCATAATAATCTTCAATTGAGTCTTTAAGGCTGTAAATCTTTACAGGAGGACACTGCTCATTTTCTTCCCATGGGGTCGCTGGTGAATTCAAACTGCAGAGACATGGCTTTTGCGTTCACACAACTGTCTATGGATTAT